CAGCAAGTACTTTCTCACTGTGCCATTCCCCCAACCCAAGGCAAACACGCGCGCGCGCGTGCACACACACACACACACACACACACACACACACACACACCCCAAAGAGAGAGAGGCACACACGCACACACTTTTTAATTAAATTTATTTTTTTTTATTATTTTACATCTCTACCTCAGTTTTCCCTCCTTCCTCTCCTCCCATCCCCTCCCCATACCTCCCTCCAACCCTTCCAATCTATTTCTCTGCTTCTGTTCAGAAAGGAGCAGTTCTCCCACGGAGGCCTGCTTATCAAGTTGCCATAAGGCTAAGCACTTCCCCTTGTATTAAGGCTGGGCAAGGCAATGCAGTAGGAGGAATAGGTTCCCAAGAGGCAGCTTAAGTGTTAGAGAAAGTCCCTGCTCTCACTGTTCGAGTCCCATGAGTAAATCAAGCTACACACTGTTACATATGTATAGAGGGCCTAGGTTGGTCCCACGCAGGTTCCCTGACTGTTGGTTCAGACTCTGTGAGTTTTGATGAGCCAGGTCAGTTGCTTCTATGGTGTTCTTCTCTCCTCTGGCTCCCACAATCTTTCTTCCCTCTCTTCAACAAGGTTCCCCAAGCTTAGCTTTATGTTTGACTGTGGGTATTTGGATCTGTTTCCGTCAGTTACTGGATGTAAACTCTCTGATGACAATCAGTGCAGTCACCAATCTGATCACAGGAGATGGCCAGCACAGGCTACTCCCCTAGGGGTCTTAGTTGGGTTTATGCTTGTAGATTTGTGGGAGTTTCCATTGCATCAGGTTTCAACCTGATCCCCAAAAGCTTATCTCCTTTCCATGCTTCTCTTTCAATACTCTCCCCCTCCATCTCTCAAGTTCCTATCACAGAGATCTCTTCTGTTTCCACTTCCCAGAGAGAGCTACGTACCACTGACCCCCTTGGGTTTCTCTTGTTACCTAGCCTCTCTGGGTCTGTGGATTATAGCATGATTATGCTTTACTTAACAGCTAATATTCACTTATAAGTGAGTATGTACTATGTTTGTCTTTCTGGGTCTGGATTACCTACTCAGGATTTTTTTTTTGTAGTTCCATCCATTTGCCTTCAAATTTCCTGATGTCATTGTTTTTAACAGTTAAGTAATACTCCATGGTGTAAATGTACATTTTCTTTATTAATTCCTCTGCTGAGGGACAGCTGGGTTGTTTTCAGATTCTAGCTATTACAAATAAAGCTGCCATGAACATAGCTGAGCAAGTGTCCTGGTGGTATGATTGAGCATCCTTTGCATATACGCTGAAGAGTAATATAGCTGAGTCTTAAAATGGATTGATTCCCAATTTTCTGAGAAGCCACCATATTGATTTTCAAAATGATTGTATCAGTTTGGACTCCCACCAGCAAAGGAGGAGTGTTGCCTTGTTCCACATCCCTGTCAGCATGAACTGTCACTTTTATTTTTGATCTTAGTCATTCTGGCAGGTGTAAGATGTAATCTCAGAGTTGTTTTGATTTGCATTTCCCTGATGGCTAAAAATGTTGAACATTTCTTTAAATGTTTCTTTGCCATTTAAGACTATTCTGTTGAGGAGTCTCTGTTTAGGTACATACTCAATTTTTAAAATTGGATTATTTGGTTTTTTTTTGATGTCTAGTTTAAATATTTTTAAATAATTTAAAACATCATTGAAATGAACAGGGGAAAACTGAAACAGTATTTAAAGAATCTGGAAGTTTTAAGTATGTATATCATATGTCAACACTAACATTTAGAATTTTCAAAAATTAAATAAAGTCAACCCAAAATAAATAGAAAAATAACATTGATAATGAAACACTGAAGACACACAATGAAGTAATTTCTTTCCAAATATAAATTGAATGGTTAGTACTCTAGCTAAGCTGGTTAAAATTAAAGCAGGATCACAAACAGGAGAAAACAATAAACAATTTATACACATGTACCTGACAAGTGTGTACAATACCAGCCAAAACCTGTCAACAGAACAATCTAGTAAAATTTACCTAAATTGATTTAAAAAGTCATGGGAAGCTTTTGAACTCCATTTCAACTTCCAAATCTGTTACCAAATTTCATTTTTTTCAAGAAATTGTTAGTGAATCATCTCAAACATTTAAACAAATGACTATCCCAATGCTATAGAGACCATGGCAGAAAAAAATGTTGAGGTTTGATGCCTCTCATCTTTAGGATCGAGCTGACATCCAGCCATACAATAATACAGACATAAAAATCACAGAACAATAGTCCAAATTATTGTAGATGTAGAAATGTCATTTCACATCCTTACTGATTCTTCCAAAGTTTACCAAGGCAACAATGCTCCTACTCATATATGGAGTAGGAGCATGCGGTTGTTTATTCTATAAACTGGAGAGGTGGTTTAGAGTGGCAAGGCACCTACTGGCAAACCTGATGATGTGAGTTCCATTCTGATGATGAGCCCCATGTGCTGGGTTGAGAGAACCAACTCTTTATAAGTCATCCTCCGACTTCTTCATACATGTGGTGACTTGTGCACCCATACACAGGCACCATGTGGACACACACATCCACACATCAAAAAATATATGTGATACAATTTTCTTTTTCTTTCTTCTTACTTTTCATCCTTTTTTTTTTGAGGGGAGGGGGTTAAGACCGAGTTTCTCTGTGCAACCCTAGTTGTCCAGGAACTCACTCTGTAGACCAGGCTAGCCTCAAACTCACAGAGATCCTCCTGCCTCTGCCTCCTCAGTCCTGGGATTAAAGGTGTGCACCACCACCATCTGGCATAATACAATTTTCAAAATGGTTAATTCTGGAAGACACCATTGCAGTGTTTAAAAGGTTAACTGTATGGGTAGGATACGATCCAATAATACTGCTGTAGGCTGATTATAACTTAATAAATGCTCCTTTGCTAATAGCATGGAATGAAATATTGATAGGTATAAAAGCCGATGAATCAATAAAACATTATGTTTAATGAAAGAGGACACACAAATGATCACATGCAGACTAATGCTATTAATATGACTTCTGTAAACACATATCTAATCCCCAGTAGAAAAAGCAGACATAAATTACTTAAGTTGTATGAGAGCTATTCTTGCCTGTCAACTTGACTACTGATGTGGAATAATCCTTTTGTAAGGTATATAAATTATACTGTGATTGGTTTAATAAATAAGCTGACTGGCAAAGAGCTGGACAGGATAAGGTTAGGTGGGAAAACCAGACTAAGGACACTGGGAAGAAGAACAAAGGAGTTTCAAGAGTTTCAAGAGATACAGAAAGAAGCAAGATGAATGTCCCTTGTTCAAAGAAGGTACCACTGTATGCACAGGGTAGATAAGAAATTATAGGTTTAATTAGGCAGGATCAAGGGAGTGACCACCAAGGGAGCAGGTCTGAGGGATGGGGCCGAAGCCAGGGACCTCTGCAGGAGCAGACCTGGGCCAGTG